GGCCTCGGCGTCGGCCTGGGCGGCCTGGGCGGCTTCGGTGACCGCGGAACGAGACGGGGCGGCGGCGACGCGGAAGGCGGGGCTCGGCGATGGCCGGCGGCGGGGCGAAGCCCGGGACAGCCCGTGAGTACCGGGCCAACTTTTCCCCGCGGCGCCGGGGCCGGGGTGGGCCGGGGTTCCCGCTGGGAGACGGGCGGGCGGGCGGTCGCCTGGAAGAAAGGGATGCGGTGCGTCAGGGCGATGGGCGCGGGCCCCAGGCAGGGGGCGGAGGCGCCCTTCGACTCGCGAGCCTGACTGCGGCCGCCCGCGGGGCGCCTTGCGCGCGGCCCCGGGCGGGCAGGGGGTGTGCGCGGCCGGGACTGCGGCGCGAGCGTCTGTTTTAGTGTCCGCGCTCGCGGGCGGACTGCTGTGTGTCCGCGCATCCGTGTGTCCGTATACGAGGTCGGATGTCCCTACGGCGCCTACCGCGGCGTCCCGGTGCGCCCGCGTGTGTTCGGGTGCGGCCGAACGGTTGCGGCGCCTACCGTGAGCATGCCCTCCCCGGCGGGCCCGGCCGGTCTGCCGGATTGCGCCGGGAGACCGGACGCCTCGGTCCCTGGCCCGGCACCGCAGAGCTTTGCCCTGGCCGCGCGCGGAGGACGTCGGGTCTGTTCCTTTCTCAAAGGCAGGAAAGAAAAGTTTGCTGGCGGCTCTGTCGGGAGGACCCCCACAGGTCCCCATTCCAAACCTGGCGTCTGATTCGCGGCTTGGGCCCCCGGTGCGAGCCTGGGTAGGCAGGCCGAGCTGGTCTGCAGGAGCTCGCGTGGTTATTAGCGGGGGCTGCCCGGGCCTGTCGGCCTGGACTTGCCTTCATGGCACTAGGGTGGGAGTTGATACCGCTTGCTTCCTGAGACCGATGCCTGCACCCGCCTCCGTGCTGTGGTGGGTGTAGGATGGGGTGATCGTGTCCACCCAGGGTCCCCGCAGGGCTGTGTACTCTACATAGAAGGAGGTGTGCTGCAGCTATGGCCTCCTTCTCACAGGGCCTCCCAAGGGTCAGCCCTCGGAAAGCCCCACTTCCCTCCAGCCTTCCGATTGCTTCCTGAACAATCCTAGGGTATGGTGTGTGACAGGGTTGCCTTAGAGAAGAGATCAGGGATGAGATCCCAGGTGCAGCCCTGAAAAGGGGGGTGGGATGTGCCTCAGTATCTGAGACCTTGGCAGGTTCAGTGGGGGAGGCTGCTTAGAATTTGGTCCTCTCCCTAGCTCATCTGAGGAGTGCTGGGAATTTGACTCTAGAAAGAAAGGGGTGGGGGTGTGGACTGGGTCAGACCCCTCAGCCTGGACTCTTGTGGCTTAGGTCTCCCTGGCTACTCCACCTTTTTACATCCAGGCAGCTACCCTCTCAGTGTCTGTTTGACTGGGCTTAGCCTTTGCTCCTCTGGCCCCTGGGGAGCATGCCTCAGGCCTCCTAGGCTCTGCTCAGTGCTGATTTGGGTTATACCAGAGAGGCCATGTGGTAGCCCCAGGGACGCCAGGACAGCCCAGCTCTCTGGGAGCCCCTACCTGTGCCAGAAAGAGAGGTCCACCTGGGCCTCTACTTCAGGGACCTGCTTAGGTCTGCTGAGATGGTGATGTAGTGAGGGCCGGGAAAGGCTTTTTAGGATTGGGAACAGCATGGGTGGAGGATTGGTTAGAAGAAGGGACTAGCACAGCCCTTTGTGGCTGAATGTGTTTTGTGGGTGGCAGAGAAAGGAGACCTGTGGACAGAGCAGATCTGTGCTTCTGAAGCCCCTGGTCATTGCTTGTCTGCTTGGAAGCCCCACTCTGATAGTGCCAGGGACGTCCCCATGCCCAGGGCAACTCAGAGCAGCCACATAGGCCGGGAAGATGCCTCAGGGGAGCATGGCTGTAGAGCAGGGCTTAGAAGTCTCTGGATCTTGGCTGGAAGAGGATGGCTGCTTGGGATTACCTCCCTGGCACACCAGGGGAGACAGGGCAGTTCTCCTGCCCACCCTTCTCCCTGGCACAGGAGATGAAACTAGATCGGCTTCTGACTCATGAGGGCACCATTGGACAGGACTGATAGGATCTTCCCTGCCTCGCCCTCCACGGAACCTATCTAAGCCCAGAAGCTCCGGGCAAGGGGTGGGCTGTCCCTCTGTGGAGAGGAACCTGGGGTGCCGTTGCCAGACCTGGGAGCAGGAAATGGATTATTACACTCTATATGCTTGGAACTTATCTGTACAACTAAACCTACCTCCTCCTTCTTCAGTGTCCTCCCAACTACCTGAAGAGTGTGGCCTTTTACTGTCTCTGGCTGATCCCCAAATCACCCTTCCCTCTCCAGCTCAGCCTCTATCTGCACAGTCTGACATGGGTTTCTGGACCATCCAGGGCCCCTGGATGCCGTTCAGAATGCCCCGGCCAGCATCTCCAGCTTCTCACGAGCCTGGGTCTTTCAGAGCAGGTGGAAAGGCACCTCCCCAGACCCCTACTGAGTTCACAGCACACAGTGCCACTGGTGCTTAACTCCCAGCATCCACCTGGTTCTCACCACTACCCGGCCCAGCTTTGGAATGAGAGTGCTTGTTTCAGGAGAGTTGAGCCCAGCAGGCTGGCATGCTGGGTCTCTAGAAGCTTGGGGTTCTATCTCTGCTCTATGGGACTAGCTGAGCACCTGAGCCCCAGTCCAAGAGGTCTTCATCAGCTTTGGTGAGATGGTGGACTCTGTGCTCAATCCCAGGCATGGGAACCTGCTAGGTAGCAGCCCTGTCTGTACCTAGGACCCTTCCCGGTGGCCCCTGTTGGGAATGGACTCAAGAGCTGACTGGAGTATGGATGGTAGCTGCTTCAGTCAGACTCTTCCTGGTTAATATGAAAAGTCCGGCCCATAATTGCATTAAGGCGTGTGTAATTATCCTGGTGGAGGGGCAAGCCCAGCCCCTGGTAATTGCAGGCCTGCTTTGAGCTGATAAACGGTGAGTGATTCATGCTTTCTCTGGGCTCCCACCACTCACTCTCAGCCCAGCTCTGCAAGACCCGAGGCTCCACGTGGCCCTGGCCCTGCTCACCTGCTGCCTGGTTGCCTGCAGAGTCCTTGGAGGCTGCTGGTCTGGGAAGTGGTGTGAGTGAGGGGCCTCAGTGAAGGTACTGCCTGCCTGCCGGGAGGATCCTGCCAGGGAATGTGGTCCTGGCCCTCCACTTCCCTCAGTCTTTCCATTTAGGTCTTGGCACACCGGGGCATTGACTGGGCAGGGGGTCTGGGCAGTGAGGACATTGAGATGCAGGCCTGGCTGGTCCCTCTGCTGCCCACTCACCTGCTCCCTCATTACCTCCGCCTTCCCTCCTAACTTGCTCCCTCCCTCATTAATTCCACAAGTGCCTCTTGGGCCCTCCATGGCTTTGGGATGGATAGTGGCAGGCCACACGTACCCAGGTCCCACTCTAATGCAGCTTCTACCCTAGTGGGAAGAGTATCTGGGCACAGAAGGTAACATCAGTTGTAAGTGAGTTCTGCATCACACATTAACTCAGGGGTGGGGACTGATAGAGAGGGAGCAGCTGCCCCTTTAGCACATATGGTCAGGACAGAGGTCTGAGCTGGACCTGAGCAGGTCCTGAGGTAGGCGTGGATGGAACAGAGAGGTCACCATAGCTCAGGGGGGACTGGAGAGCCCTACTCTCTAGTTACAGGTTTGAAGGGTACCCTGTGGCCTGCAGCAGGAAGCCCAGGCAGCCTGTGGGGCAGGTGGGATCGCTCCCTGCCTGGACTCTGAAGGGCCATCTAGCTTTCATCCTCGGCCTCCTAACTGTCAATGGGGGCCCGGCACCCTGGACAAACCCGTACCACATGGGCAACCTCCCCCTCACCGTGTCCTTCTGCTTGCAACTTGGCAGCCCTGGAGGAAGGGGGCTAACTGGCAGGGCCACAGAGTCTAGATTTCACTACACTACGGATGAGGTTAGAGTTTTCAGGGGAAGTGGGCACCAGTGCGGACAGGTGGGCATGAAGGAGACTGGCTAGTGGGCGGTGGCATGGGTGGGAGGGGAGTGGGCAGTTTGAGAGACATAGAGGTGACACTGATACACCATGGTGAGGAATGGGCACGGGATGGACAGGGCCTCAGCAGTGCTCAGGGTCTAGTGTGTCAGTGGCTGGTTGGGTGTTAGGTCCGGGCAAGGTTGATGTTTGTAGGAGGGGTGGGCACTGCCTGGCTTCTCTTTCGAAGAGTTCTTTTGGGGAACTGAAAGGTCTCAGGGTAGATGGACCAGGGAGCCTAAGGAGCCAGCTGGGAGAGGAGTGGTGTGGGCGGTCAGCAAGCAGAAGACACCGTTCATCCTGTGGTGGTGGCAGCAGGTGGGAAGTGAATTACAACCTGACTTTCAGGTTTGGTAAGTGCCTGGGCCAGGGTCAGCCAGTGAGGAGGGTACCCCATGAGAGTGACCCAGGATATCCACCCCCCCCCCCCCCAGGGGCTTGTGTGGGCCCAGTGGGCAGCAGACCTGTAGCTAGTCAGACATACTTCTTGTGGTGGGTTGACTCAACACCCTCCCCTCCTGCTCACCCTGGCCACGCCAGGCCACACATACACTTCTCAAGTTTGGAAGGGATTACCAGGCCTGAGTCTCCGGAGATGGGGATTGGTGTAGGCTGCAGTGTGATGTGGAGGGGCATTCAAGCCCCCCATCTGGTTGCTGTAGGATGACGGTGATGGATGTGTTTCCAGCAGCCTCGCCCACCCCCTAGATTGGGGCTCTTGATTTTGAAGGCTGGATGGAGTACATGCTGGAATGTGGGGAGACAAGTGGTAGCAGCGTGGGGGTGCAAGGCTGTGTGAGAACCAGAGGCAAATGAAAGGGCTGCCATCAGTGAATTCTGACACAGCGACCCCACCAGGACAGAGTAGAATTGCTCCTGGGGGTTTCTGAGGCTGTGAATCTTTATGGAAGCTGACTGCTTCATCTCTCATGGTGAATTTGAACTCTGACCTTTCAGTTAGAAGGTGGGTGCTTTAACAACTGTACCACCAGAGATGAGAGCCCTGCTTCCCTGTTTTCTCATGCCCTTTTCTCTATCTCCATCAGTGATGGCTGGGCACAGCATTGACCGAGGGTCAGGCAGGCGGCCCTGCTCCTTCTGTGGTCCAGAGCTTGGTCTTGATGCACCTTCAATGTGTGCAGAGCCTGAGACCAGCTAGGTGTCGTCTCAGCTTTGGACTCTTCTTTTGGGTTGATCGCTGTGACTTTGCGGCGGTGTGCACCATATATGGCACACAGCAAGAACTCATAAATGCTAAGCCTGTGTGTCCACATGTTGGAATTACAGACAAGTGCTCACATCTGTTGTCATGTGTGATGTGTTTCTATCAGCCTTGCATGTGTGCTCATGCCTCATCACATAACCTGTTGCATATGTGCATCCCTTGTCACGTGGTACTGTACATGTACTCACATCTCGCCATGTGTGCTCACAGCTGTTATGTATGTACTAGTGTTTGTCATGCACATCTGTGTCTGTTGTCACTCATGTACCCATGTCTCATCATGTGTGTGCTCATGTTTGCGGTTGCACGTGTGTTTATGTGTCATTATGTTGTGGATGTTGAGCGTGGCCTCCATGCCACCTGCTCACCCTCTCCTCCCCACTCTCCCCCCACAGGGCCGAGCCTCCCGGCTCCATGAAGCAGACATCTGCAGGACCCAAGCACCTCGGCCCTACGCCCTGGCCCGTCATGCTGCCGCCACTGCTGAGCCCGCTGGTGCCCCCTGTGCTACTGCTGATGTTGCTGCCGCCGCCACAACTGCTAGGAGGGGTGTGGGTAGAGGCAGGAGCCCCCCGTGTAGGCGGGGGTCTGCAGCCCACCTTCCGAACCTTTGCAGCTAGTGAGTGGGGCCTTACCCACCTGGTCGTGCATGAGCAGACCGGTGAGGTGTATGTGGGCGCAGTGAACCGAATCTATAAGTTGTCGGGCAACCTGACCCTACTTCGGGCCCATGTGACAGGCCCCGTGGAAGACAATGAGAAGTGCTACCCGCCGCCCAGTGTGCAGTCCTGCCCCCACGGCCTGGGCAGTACTGACAACGTTAACAAGCTGTTATTGCTGGACTACGCTGCCAATCGCCTGCTGGCTTGTGGTAGTGCCTCGCAGGGCATCTGCCAGTTCCTGCGGCTAGACGACCTCTTCAAACTTGGGGAACCCCACCACCGGAAGGAACACTACCTGTCCAGTGTGCGTGAGGCGGGCAGCATGGCTGGAGTGCTCATTGCGGGTCCGCCTGGCCAGGGCCAGGCCAAACTCTTCGTTGGCACACCCATCGATGGCAAATCTGAGTACTTCCCCACACTGTCCAGCCGCCGGCTCATGGCGAACGAGGAAGATGCTGACATGTTTGGTTTTGTGTACCAGGATGAGTTTGTGTCATCGCAGCTTAAGATCCCCTCAGACACACTCTCCAAATTCCCAGCCTTTGATATCTACTATGTGTATAGCTTCCGCAGCGAGCAGTTCGTCTACTACCTCACCCTGCAGCTGGACACACAGCTGACCTCGCCTGACGTGGCTGGGGAACATTTCTTTACCTCCAAGATCGTGCGGCTCTGTGTGGATGACCCCAAGTTCTACTCGTATGTCGAGTTCCCAATCGGCTGTGAGCAGGCAGGTGTTGAGTACCGCCTGGTACAGGACGCCTACCTGAGCCGCCCTGGCCGAGCTCTGGCCCGCCAGCTGGGCCTGGCTGAGGATGAGGACGTGCTGTTCACCGTGTTTGCACAGGGCCAGAAGAACCGCATCAAGCCGCCCAAGGAGTCAGTGTTGTGCCTCTTCACGCTCAGGGCCATCAAGGAGAGGATCAAAGAACGCATCCAGTCCTGCTACCGAGGCGAGGGCAAGCTCTCGCTGCCCTGGCTACTCAACAAGGAGCTGGGTTGCATCAACTCGGTGAGTGGGCGCCACGGCCTTCCTTGCACGCTCTCTCGTCCCCTCCCAAAAGAGGCAGCCGCAGGTAATGTAGATAGCACACGTGTGTAGCCTGTGCACTTTGCCAGGTGTACCCTGTGGGGGATGCTAGAGTTCTGACCAAGCCTGGTACTGCTCTGTCTCCTCCATGTGAGCAGGGAAGTCCCCATTTGACAGATGTGGCCACTGACACTCAGAGATGGGAGGTGATCTGCTCAAGGTCACATAACCTGTGTGTGTGGTGGGTTGGTTTGGATCCATGTGGGTATTGACTCACCTTCCCCATTGGTGGTATGTCTACTTGCCCAGTACCCTGGACTGGACACTCACCTCTCGAGGCTCTGCTCACTACCTGTTACATGAGGCCATTTGTGACCCCTTTGGTCTCTTTGGGACTTTACCTCGCCTACGAGACTCATTTTGTGCGGAGTGGAGTGCATCAGATGCACATGGTGTCTGGGAAGTAGCAGTGGCCACCACAGCTCTGGGGCCATCTGCTTGTCCGGTGGCATCTCCTCTTTCCATACTTGCCCATCAGAGAGATACCCTGGCCCAGCATCCCTACCCATCCAGTCTCTTCACTGTTCCAACTCTGCAGCCCTGTGTCTATTCCCTGGGCTCCTCTGTGCTTGTCCACTCTGCCTCAGTAACCACACACCCGTTGTGGTCACCCCCTCACCACCAGACCCCACCCTCATGCCCTCTGAACACCCTCCTGGTCCCAGCGAAGGGCCTGTCAGCCACCTCCCTCCCCTGATTTGTCCCCTTTGTGGTCTGAGGACAGTCACCCTCCCATTTTGTGGGTTGGCCTGGGCCTCTGAGCAGCAGGTATACAAGAACTTCCATGCTCTGCCATGCTGGCTTGGGCCTGGGGATTCCTCGAGCTCTTTCCCTATCAAAGGGGGCTGGAACTTCTGACCCCAGAGCTGCCCAAGCTTCCTGGGCCAGAGCCCCTCTGTGAGGCCGGGAATGACCCTCTGGCACAGACCCCTACAGCCTCCCTTCCAGCCAATGAGGCCCCTCCTGACTTCTCAGTCTTTGGGTAATATACTGTGCAATGAGCCGCCAGGTAAGCAGAAGCCTTGGCTTGTGGCCTCACCCTATCCCTTCTCACAGCCCCTGCAGATTGACGATGACTTCTGCGGGCAGGATTTCAACCAGCCGCTGGGGGGCACGGTCACCATCGAGGGCACACCCCTGTTCGTGGACAAGGATGATGGCTTGACTGCTGTGGCTGCCTACGACTACCGTGGCCGCACCGTGGTGTTTGCTGGCACTCGAAGTGGCCGTGTCCGAAAGGTGGGCCTGGCTGCGTGGGGGCAGGGATTGTGTAGTGGCCTGGGGAGCATTTTGCTTCATGAGTGGGTGGGGCAGTGTGGCCTTCCAGCTGTGCTCTCTAGAGGTCTTGGCTCAGAGTTCTGGTTCTCGGGGGACTCAGGGTAGTTTGGACCTGCCAGCCCCCTGGCTCCAGCCCCACAGTGGTGGGTCCCTCACTGGGTGTACACTGAGCTCCTAGGGGGCAGGTGTCTGTAGGTGGGGATGGGGCTGCACCAGGGTGTGCCTTCCAGGGTCGCAGTCTCCAAGCCCAGCAGATCTGGTGTCTGCTGAGACAGCAACTGCTGCTGGTAGCTGGGCCTCCCACATCCTGTCTATGGAGACGGGCAGGCCAAGGGCAGGGAAAGGACACTGCCTCCCCTCCCCTGACCATTGGTTGATGCAAAAAGAACGTGGAGGCTTGTGGAGTGACTGAGAGATGGGAGCTGGGGAGGGAACACCATGCAGGGTGGTCAGCTTGGCTCCTCTAGGCTCTCCTTGTCATGCCCACAGTGCTGGGCTGGGCAGAGCTGAGGGTGGGCTAGCATCAGGGAGAAGGAAGACGCTCTTGAGTGGAGGTGGGGGTGGTTGAGGAGACTGCAGTGGGTACCTGTGAGGCACCGAGGGTCCTTGGGGGGGGGGGGGCAGGGCCGGCCTGAAGGATGAAATAACAGCAGAGAGTGGTGCTGACATAGCAGTTGGGCCTTGTCTGTTCACTAGATCCTTCCAGCAATTTCTCGCCCTAGGTGACCTGGGCCTGAGCCACCGAGGGCGGAATCTGCTTCCCAAGCCCTTTTAGGCTTAGGGCTTATGAGAAGGGGTTTCCCAGTTTCTGCCACGCCGTTGCCCGGGCTTCTTGCTGACTCTTTGGTCCCTGGAAAGTCCTCTTGGATGAACCTCAGCCCCAGCTCTAGAGAGAGTCTGATATTTGGGGGCTGTGTTTATTCAGGTGGCTCTGGGCCTGGGTTGGTGGTGCTCTGGGGCAACAGCAACTGGGAAGCTGAGCACTGTGGGTCCCCAGCCCCCTAGCACTTGCCAGGAGATAGCCCTTAGAGGATCCTCTCTTATGGAGCAGAGACTGAGGCCCCAAGATGTGTATGGAGTCTCCTAAAGGGGAGCTGGGTGTGTTGGTGGTGGGCAGTGGTGGGTAGATGGGTATGCTGCCAGCTGTCTGCCACCCACAAAGTTGTCGGGAGACAGGAACAGGTTTGTCTGGTCCTGCCTGCATTCTTCTCTGCCTCAGAGGGCCGCTGTTTGGTGGGAGCTTTGGCAGTTCCTGGGGTTTCTGATTAGCTGTGTCCTCCTGCCTCTTACCCTAGCCCTCCATTGAGGAAAATGGAGACCCAGGGCACTGAAGGTTACATTCCTGCCTTCTAAGCCCTACAGCAGGTGGGACACAGAGGCCAGACCCCTCCTTGAACCTGGTGTTTGTGCAGCTGATGGACAGCTGGTCTGTCCCTGTCCCCTGTGAGCCTGAGCTCTTCCCCAGCATCTAGGCAGACAGTCCCTTCCTCATGCATGGGTGTGTGTCGGGCGCTATGGCAGTGTGTGGGGCACAGTGCCCTGCACGGGTGTGAGGCCAGCTGTACCCAGGATAGTGGAGTAAGGGTGGTGTCTGCTGCTAGCCCCAAACTCTCGGGTGGGCCTGCCTCAGCTCCCCATCCCATCTGAGCTCACTGGTCTGGTAGAGAGGGTCCTGTTGGGGCTGGTTGAATAATTTCCTCATTCCCCATGGTGCATGCCTGATCTTGAACAAGCAGGTGAGCTTTGGGATGGCTACTGACTCTTCCCCTCACCACTGTGGGGAGCCTTTCAGAGGCTCGGTTTCCCTTACAGCCATCATGAGGGCTGTGTGTACAATGGGTGCAGTCGATTGCCAAACCTCTGTTGCACAGGGGAAGCTGAGGCCTGTGCCTAGAGCTTTGCTCATGACTGCTCCCTCAGTCCCTTTTCTCGGAGTCCTTGGTGAGGAATCAGGCCTCAAGTGTAGTGCCCAGGAGAAGGCAACTACTCCGACCCCGCACCTCTGTGTCAAAGCAAGGTCTAGAGCAGCCACTCTTCCACGTGACCCCACGTGTTCCTGCCCCTGGGCTGGAGCCCTCATGGGCCTTGCCTCTAATGCCCACCCCGCTCCCTTTCCTGCCCTCTGACTAGTCTGGTGAGCTAGCTCCTGTGGGTGGCGTTTGGAGCTCAGGCTTTGGTTGAGATCCACCCAGTCATTCTTCCCCCTCTGCCATCTCTGCTTCCTGAGGCTCTGTTTTGCCATGAGTCTAGGTTTCCCATGAGGGGCAGCTGTGGCTGGGTTGGGGGTACGTGGAGAGTGAACCTCCCCTTGCTTGTTCATGGCCTGCCCTGGCTGCATCACCTCCTGCCAGTAACGGCGCCCCTGGGCTTCACCCTTGCTGGCTGTAGTGGCCTATCCTGACCAGGGCTGTCTAGTGGACAGCAGGTCTCCCTTCTCCCACCTCACCCCTCGCATGTCTAGATCAGGCTTGGATGTTGGGGGACTGTGGTCTGGGGTGAGCCAGGTGGGTTTGCTGTGGGTCCTCTTTGAATAACCTCTTGCTCTCAGACACCCCTTGTTTCAATTGAGATGCCCTCCTCCTGAGGTTGAGCTGGACGTGTCCCACCATCTGAGTGTGGGGGCATGGGCCCCCCCCCATGCTGCAGCTGGCCTCGGCGTGCCTATGGCCCACAGGCCGGGCTGCTGTGCCAGCCGCCCCACCCCTCCCCAGGCCTGGCTTTAACAACGTGATGGGAGCTCCAGGGAGTTGGTTGGCCTGGGGCCAGGCCCCACCAAACGTGTTGTGTAAAATTGTAGTCAATTGATTTAAGATCTGCCAACTTCAGCTGCTCAAGGCTGTGCTGACTGTACTGTGGCTCAGGCTAGCTGGGTACCTCTGGCTCCCCTTCCCAGAGGCCTCACCTCTCTCTCCACAGGCCACCTCCAAGCCCAGCCCAGCCCTGTGGCACAGCCCACTCTCAGGCCTGGCTGACCCCTGCATGGTAGGGACACCCTGCCCCTTGTCGGCTCAGGGACAGCCTCTCATTTTTGCAGAGCAGGAGAAGGTGGTCCTGGCATTCAGGGGGGTCAGTCACCTTTGTTTCTGTAAGGGACTCAAGGGGCTGCAGATTGGACTGAGGCCTTGGCCCTGGTGGTGTCCATGCCCTGGGATCCAAGGGACACATGCAAGGAGAGGTCTGTGCCTGGCCAGAACCTTTCCTTGGCCTCTCTCTGGAGAACAGCCATGCCTTGCCTGCTTCGGATTGGTTGGCATTCCTTCTTGAGTTGGTCATGTGCCTTGGGCATACTCCTGCAGTGGCTTAGGGACAGAGGTGCAGGCTGAGACTGTACGGAGATAGGAGGTCTCACTGGGACCCCAGTCCTGTGCTCTGCTTGCACACAGGCCCCAAGGCTGCTCTGGTTGCCTGAGCTGCATGCTACCACCTTGCCAGAGCCACCTTGTCTAGTCCTCTAGGTCCTGTGGGGTTCCTTGAGGTGGGCCGGATCCTGCTGTGGGTGAAACCAGAAGGCCTGCTGTGCCTACCTCTGCTGTCTGACCTGATGGATGGCATGGTAGGCGTGGTACCATTGCTCTGCGGTAGCAGATGACAGCTGTCTCCTAGCTGGGCCCCCTGCACCCAGGTCTTGACACTTGCAGTTCTCTCTGCCTCTGGAGCCCCTGGTGCTCCCTGTGGCTTCAGTTCGGCAGGAGCATCAGCTGGTGCTGGGCCTGCCCTCGGGGCCAGAGGCCTCCTGTCTCCAGAGGCCAGCGAACATCTAGAAGCTTCCCAGGCTGTGCACGATGCTCCTTTGCCCTATCCCAGGTGGCTCAGGAACGGCTACTTCAGAGACCCATCTGGAACAGGAGGCAGTGTGGCCCCATGCATGGGGTCCTGGCTCTCAGGCCTCCGTGTCTCTGACCTGGCGGCTGCTCCTCCTGGTTTAGGGTCTGCTCCTCCTGGGGGAGACCGGGGTGAGAGCTGCTGAGTGAACTGCAGGCCCTCTGCACACTCTCTTTGGCAGGGTCACCCTGAGTTGTGTCTCTCTCTGGGGGAGACGAGCAAGGAAAGGCCCCCAGGGTGTGTGCTACACGGGAGCAGGTGGGAGTCACTCTGGGTCTACTCCTCCAGGAGCCCTCCTTAGACACCCCTGCCGACAGGTGTCCTCAGAGCGGCTTTGCCTATTTGTGACCTTGGCTAGTTATGTCACATGGTTGGTGTGTGTTTCTTTCCTTCCTTGCTCTGTGTTTCCTGACAGTTGTCCTCGTGCTTCTCCTGTGGAGTGTGTCCTGGCCATGCCATGCAGATGCATTCGAGGTTGCGCCCACCGTGGGCTCCATCTGTCAGGGAGCAGCTGTGCGTTTCTCTGGGACTTAGGCTGACTTTGAGATTGCTGGGTGCTCATTATTTCTTCACCCTAAATCTCTAGGATGGAACCACAATGATGTTGGGTTATTAAAAGGACTGGGTGGTGGAGTATGGATGCCTTGGTGAATCTCTGTTCACATGCCAAGGTGAGATGGGCATGGCTGCATGCCTTGCATCTGCCCAGTACTTCCAGCCCCTTATTGCTGGACGCCAGTCCCAGGGCCCTCAGGCAGTGCGGCAGGGTGCTATGCATATGGCTCCCAGTTCAGCACTGTCCTGGGGGGAGGACCTGTTGTGCTCTTTCTGGATCTGCTGCTGAGGCTGCGAAGTTGAGAGGGGTTCTACATGCCCCGGCGAAGGCCAGGAGGGCACCAAGCCACCTTCTGTTGACCCTGTGGGAGTCGTGTGTGTGTGTGTGTGTATGTGTGTGTGTGCGTGTATGTTCTAGCCTCCAGGCAATGAAGCATGGGTTCTGCATGGCCGGTGGAGCTGCCTCTGCCCCAGGTCTGGGGACTTGCCACATTGCTTCTGGGAATCCTGATTGTAGATGCAGGCCAGCAGCACCCCCCTGCACCTGTCCGGAGTGTGCCTGCATTCAGGGGGTGCCCGGAGTT